TGCCTTCTCTTCTTTGCAGTGCTAAAACATGGAGCAGGACCAACAAGAGCAGCTGCTGCAAGCAGTGGAGCTGTACGATCCTCCAGACTCTGGTTAAAGCTGCTGGAGTCTCACCAGAGCCTTGTTTGTGTGGGTTTGGCATCTTTATCACTGTTTATAGCAGGGAAGCACATGGCATCTTCACCCACCCACACTGTCTATAGATAACAGCTCATCCACAGCACGTGGCACCAGCCAGCCTTGCCCCAGGGAGCCCAGGCTGGGAGCTGAGCAAAGGCTCAGCTCCACAACTGTTATGCAGATACCATTAAAGATATAATGGACATCGTTGCCTTGCAAGAGAACCCCATTTGCCCAGACCAACCTACATCCTCCTGCTGGAGGAGCCAGCTGTCCCCACCCACATCACAGCTGTGGGCTCTGCTAAGGACCATGCTTTGCCCAGCTTGCATCCCTTGGCTTTCCAAGCAGCTGCTATCACAGAAACTGTGGAGGAGGGAAAAAGAGAGCATGCAGACCAGGAATGAAGAAAGGTTCACTGTCAACTCCTGTGTTCAAATATCCCCCCAAGAGCTGCCTGTGGGAAGGCTAATGCAGATGTTGCTCTTCACAAATATAGCTCAGGGCACTGTTTCTCTCTGCCCTCACAACTGACAGTCGTCTTGTTCCCAAAAGCATGACTTATACTCAGCTGAGCCTGAGTCCTGGAGGGGCTGGTTGGGGAGCCAGAGAGAGCTGGAACGTGACTTGAATGGCACTGTATACACGGCTGTGCGTAAGAGCACAAACCACAATAGACTCTGAAGATAACGAATGGCCCATGACTGGGTCTCATAAATGCAGGCGGGTTGTTAAAACCCTGTGATCCATCAGCTGCGCTCCCCTCCAGCCCACAGCACGCACTGCGCACTGCCTGCCGCACTCGGACTCTCCGCACACCTCCAACGACAGGTGGCTGGTGATTAACAGGTTGTTAATGAGAACAGAGCTGGTGTTTGTCAATAATGCTCCATCACCAGACTCATGGAGCCCTTTTGAAGTATGAGTGCCCTGGGCTGCTCTGCGGCAATGCAGGCAAGCAGCTCGCCCTCCTCAGCCCATCAATTTGGGGACACCGGCATCTGTGGCCAAAGGACTTCTCTCAGACACCTTCTTCTTGCAGACTCCTCATGTCTTAGATTAAATAAGACTTTTGCATGCCTGTGACCAGCATGGCATTTTCTAGTCTTTTCTCGGTGCGTGGGATAAATGCATAAAAAGAAGCATGGAGATGTGGCACTGAGGAACATGGGTTAGTGAGTAATGGGTTATTGGTTGGGCTTGATGGTCTTAGAGGTCTTTTCCAACTGAAAGATTTTATGAGCTTCCCCTGAGGGGACTTGGAAGGGCCTGCTGGCTCCATGAGAAAGTAGATATCCATCTTCTCTAGTAGCAGAAGCATGATGGCTGCATTTAGGGCAGAGAGTTCTATGCCCAGAACAGGGCCTGCAGCTCCAAATGCTGTGAGTGCTGGGTAGTGGGCAGCGGTTGGTGCTGTCAGAACCATCCTTAGCAATGACTCATGCCATGGTTTGACATCAACCAGCTTCAGGCAAGCCAAGCCTTTGAAAAACAAAACAAAACAAAACAAAAACAAAAAAAAAAGAAAGAGAAATAATGCTTTGAGTTTTTCTGCATCATTCTTTTTCTTCTTTTTTTTTTTTTTTTCTTTCTTCTTTTTCCCTCGGAAAGCAAGGTCCTGCAAACTAACTGTTGATTGAGCTCAGCTGGCTTGCATTATCTGTGCTCAGGAGCGAGGCACAGCATGCAGTCCCCTCCACTGCCGCAGGTTTGCTATCAACCCCTGCCACCTGTGTAATCACTTCAGTCATGCCAGGCTCTGCCCCCGCTGCAATTTCACAGCCGCTCGGTCAGGGGGGAAATCTGGGTGATTTGGGCTTGTCTGAGAGCATTACAATGGCATGCTAACATTTAAAGGGACACTGGTGTGCATGGAGAGGGGTGGGCATGGTGGATCCTCACAGGGCTCCTGTAGGGCTGGAGCTCCTGATGGATCCTCACAGGGCTCAGTGATCCCCAGGATTGGAGCTCTTGGATGAGCTTGGACAAGGAAAGTGTTCTGAACTTGGGCACCTGGGGATGGCAAATATTCTTGATGTGAGCAGCTTAGGACTGAGAAAGGCTGAGGGGATCAGGCTGTGAGGAAGGACTATAGGCTTTGAGACTGCCCCAGCTTTCTTTTCTCTGTAGGTAAAAAAAGTCTCACTGGCTTTTCCTCTTAAAGATGTGCCAGAGATGCTCTGATCTCATGCCTGTCCTCCAGCAGTGGTACAGGAACAGCCAAGCTCATAACCTGTCCTGCTCCAGCACCTCAAACCTCACACTCTTCAAAACATTTAGGGGCTTCCTTTCCAGCAAAATGAAAAGAATCAAAGTACCCATCAGAGTCGGGTTAAGCACCAGCACAGGCACAGCTCTGGGAGCTGTCAGGAACTGCTGAGAAAAAGGGAAGAAAGCTCAATATTTCCATCCACAGCATTATGGATCTGATTTTCTCTCACAGCCGAGCGAAGCATTGATTTATAGCAAGTAGCCACTGGGCTGTGCTGATAGCACAGAATATATTGCAGGTTCCCTCTACTGACGCCGCATGGATGCAGCAATAAGCAAGGGGCCGTGGCACGACCCTCCCGCAGGACGTGGCAGCAGGAGGGTCGCAGCTCATCCGTCCCCAAGAGCCCCCCAGGACTTCAGTGTCGCGCAGCTCTCTGTCCCCACAGCGGTCCATGTGCCACCTAGCGGCACGCCGGCTGCGGGGACACACGGCGGGCTGCCTCCCCTCGCCCTTCGCCTCCGTGCTTCTTTCCCCATCCTCGTGCATCTTCCTCCTGTCCCCATCTCGCTGTCCCTCCTTTCTCCCCGTTGTCACATGTTTTTTTTTGCGATGTCCGCACATCCTTCTTTCCTTCCCCCTCAATTCTGGGCTGAGGACATCTCCACCTCATGTGGATTGTTACAGCATAGCGTGGAGCAGGACATAAGGACAGGGGACAGCAAAGACCCCACGGACCTGCCTCATCCCAGGCTCACGAAGCAGGGAGATTGTTCTGCAGGTCGCCTGTGGGTCCCCATTGCCACCGCCTTGCTTTGCCTGCCCAACAGGTGCCCTCAGGGAAGGGGTCTCTCTGCCTCTATAGCGCTGGGGCTGCAGAGAGACCCCCGCAGCAGGGGGATGCGTGCCTCCAAGGATGCTTTTGGTGGGACTCCGCCAGCAGGGAGAGCCACGAGGGGGCTCCAGGAACCCGTCTGAACCGGCGGAAAGATGCAGGGAGCGGAGCTCATATCTCCTGTGGGATGGAGGAGAGATGCTGCGAGTAGAATGGGCAGTGCTCGTGGGAGGGATGTTCGCAGCACCCGGGCCATCAGCTGAGAGGGCTGCTCCTGAATTACAGGAGCTGTTCCAAAAAGCTACAGAAGTTATTATGGAAGAAAAATGAGTGCACAGAGGGCCCACTCTGTAGAACAGGCAAGGAAAAAAGACTGACGTGTTCAGACAAGAGCACACTTCCCTGCAAAAAATAAAGCCCTGCACTTGACATGTTGCAGAGCTATTAATTAGTTTGATCAGCTTGCCTGGGTGTGTTAACTTGAGTGAGAGTTGATGTTTGTACAATGATGAGCTGTTAGAACTTCCCAAATAGAGACACAAATAATGGCAGGCTGAGCTCTCTGCTTTGCTCAGAGCTCTCTGCTACTTTCTGAGAGCTTTTCTATTCATACCTTTCTATTTTACTCAACTGTGTCTCCTAAGCACCCAGTGCAGAAGCAGTGACCCACGAGAGTGAGAGAAGCGTTTTCTGCACCGAAAGCCAAGAAACTGTCAGCCCCAGGAGCACAAAGGCAAGAAATGGAAAATCTCTCTATTTCCCCCTTGGACCTCTTCCCTCCCAGCTTGTCATTTGCTGGAGGGGCTGCAGGGCTGGGGGACTGGAATTTCCATTGCATTTGTAACGGCAGGGACTGGGAGGACTGGGAGGACTGGGAGGTGGCAGAGCGATGCCCCCAGGTCTCCTTCAGTCTCCTGTTTGTGTGTGCATTGTGACACACTGTGTGTGTACCCGTGCTGGCCAGGGGATGGCTGTGGGGTTTACGTTAACCAGCTCAAGCTGAAGCTGCTCAACAGCTTCAACCGCTCTTCAAGTTTGGCTCTTTATGTCCTGAAGTGTGTCGTTCCTGGAGAAGGGGCTGGGGCTCCTGGTGCAGAGAATGGAAAAGAAACTCCTGTTTCTTTGTGGGAGCGTGCAGGTCTTTGCCTTGCGGAGCAGAGCCGGGCTCCAAGCCTGCAGCTCCGGAGTGCAAAGTTATTGCCCTGAGCAGAGTCCACATCAGACGCTGCTCTTTATCCCGGGGACAAAGTGCTGATCCCAGCAATCCCCGAGCTTTGTGGGAAGTGCAAATCCGAGCTCTGAGCTCCCAGCTTTGACTCCGACTGCTGCAAACAGAAAGTTTCCTGGAAGCCGGACTGCGGTCCCAAGCAGAGAAGCTGAAATCGGGTCCTGAGCGCTGATCCCGGCTACAGCTCCATCCCCGTAGCACTTCAGCACCGCACAGGCTTTTTTTTATTATTATTATTTTTTATTTTTCACACGTTCTTGCCTTCTGTTTTTGCTGGAAGCTCCATCGCTATTGAGAGGCAAATTTTTGCCATCTGGCAAGGCAGCCTGGAGAGGAACAAGAGAGAGAGTAAAAAAACAACACACAATGTGCATGAGCACACACACACAAAACTCTGGAGACTGGAGAAAACAAAAAGAGGAGAGGAGAGGAGAGGAGAGGAGAGGAGAGGAGAGGAGAGGAGAGGAGAGGAGAGGAGAGGAGAGGAGAGGAGAGGAGAGGAGAGGAGAGGAGAGGAGAGGAGAGGAGAGGAGAGGAGAGGAGAGGAGAGGAGAGGAGAGGAGAGGAGAGGAGAGGAGAGGAGAGGAGAGGAGAGGAGAGGAGGAGAGGGCTTCAATGCAGGCAGGTCCGTGTGTGCGTGCAGGGATGTGGGGAACGGTTGCAGGCAGAGGAAGGCGTGACCTGCATGGAAAATGCCAGACAACCCCAGACACACACACATAGACGCGCACACGCTCGCAAACCTCCGGACAACGATAAGGCGGACAGCGGAGCGCGGGGAAGCAGCCGTCCCCGCCGCCCAGCCCGCAGCGGGGGCTCTCCTCTCCCAGCGGCAGGATGAGGTGAGTGCCGCCGGGAGCAGCGCTGCCCTCCCCGGAGCGCGGAACCGCTTCCCCGTGCGGACGGGACACGGGGCCGCATCGCCGCGGTCGGGCGGGGGCTGCGGGGCGCGGGGCTCACCCTGAGTGGGGTACGGCTCTGGAATGGGGTCGGAGCCTGGGCAAGGCTGAGCTGAGCCCTGCCGAAGGGAAGCTCCCTTTTGGGTCGAGAGTGATGCCCGTTTGCGCCCACCGAGCAGGAGAGAAACAGATTTTCCCTTAACACATTTTTGTGGTTTCGGACATGCTGTCAGAGGAAGGCATGTTCAGCCTCACTCCGCTCGAAAGCAGAATTGAAGCGGATTTCTCAGAGACCATTGACTTTGCTTTGTACCCAGCAGCCTGAGAAAGTGATGGTACTACACGGATGAGCCCCAGAAAACCAGTGCCCTGGTTTTGAAAGAACATAGGTTAAAAATAAGCCATTTATAGAGCTTCAATTTCCTCGTCGGCATACCTAAATCAAGCCCTGATTTTGAAACCGTGCATGTATGCACGTGTGGGTCGTTCCAGAAAATGTAGTGCACACCTACAAGCCTTTGCCAGGCCTTACTACCTATTTTAGAAAGCGGAAAATTTCTCAAATGGCTCTGATTTCCTGCACTTTTCCTTTGCGTGCTTCACTGAATGTGAGGTGGTGATGGCCTCTCATCCGTCTGGGTCCCAAGCAATAGCATGGGCTTTGGAGTTTGCACACCCAGCACGGGAAGAGATCTGCTGACTCTTTGCAGAGTCAGAGAAACAGAGAAATGCTCTGCCTATGTTCACATTCTTGTTTGAATCTCAAGGCCTGTATACAGCTGGACTGCAACAGGTTGACCTGTCCTCTTCATTCTCTGTGCCCTCCTTAGGCACTGGCAAAGTTGGTAACTGGGACAAATTCTTCTAGATCAGACTTTTTTTACATCTGAGCTTGATAACAAAAGATCTGTATGGGAAGGGAAGGGAAGGGAAGGGAAGGGAAGGGAAGGGAAGGGAAGGGAAGGGAAGGGAAGGGAAGGGAAGGGAAGGGAAGGGAAGGGAAGGGAAGGGAAGAGGGAAATACTGAAAGAGCATACTGTGTTATGCTGCTGTGGTCCATACTTGCTCAGCTGCAAAGAAGTGTGTTGTTTGTTGAGAGTCAATGATCCCAGTTTGGCAGGGTGAGGCTAAGCGGTAATAATAAGTACTTAGTAGTTACTGTCACGATGCTTTCATTAATCTGATTCAAAAAGCATCATTATTTTATTAAGCACCCTAATGTTTGTTCTTTTACTCAATGAAGATTTACCCAACCGCGTGCCATTAGTTGGAAGATGTGGAGCTGGTGGCTGCAGCTGCCAGAGGGGAAAAGCATGGAGCTCCTGATGGTACCTGCAGCTGTAGGCATCTCACACACCACCTCCATCACACACTTTGCAAAGAGGCTTTCCTGCTCCATTCCTGTGGAGCCTCACACAGCCCATTTGGAAGACCAGACTGAGCCCCTGATGAGTTTTGGCACGGCCAAGGTTTCATTGGGTTTCCCTGTGTGCTTTCCAGGTACCCCCTGGCCTGGTCCATGTGTGCCTGGCTGCTCGGAGCGGTGGGTGCAGTTGAGCTGACTGAAATGTTTGGAGAGATCCGCTCTCCAAACTTCCCCGACTCCTATCCCAGCGACTCAGAAGTGACGTGGAACATCTCCGTGCCTGAGGGGTTTAAAATCAAGCTGTACTTCATGCATTTTGACTTGGAGTCATCCTACCTCTGTGAATACGATTATGTGAAGGTGAGCTGTGGTGTTGGTGGATGCATGGAGGAGCAGATGGGCGATGCTTATGGCCAGCTGGGAGAGGGTGGTGCTTGGAAAGGCGGGAACAAGGTGTTTTTCCCTGTGTGTTAGGCAGAGGAATTGAGCAGGATAAATTGATAACATGAGGTAACCAGTGAGTGGGACACCAGAGTCAGGGCTCAGCCACACCGAGCTCAGCCACACTTGGGCACCCTTGACTATGCCGTGGCTGTGGGTGCTTCTTACAGGCAACCCAGATCTCAGTCACAGCTTGCAGGCTCTTAGAACACCCAAGGGAATCAAAAATAAAGATCAGATCTGAACTTAAGGCTGCAGGTGAGGGTCTGTAGAGCATCCTTCCTACAAGCAGTGGATAGCTCTCCTAACCAGGCTCTGCACCTCCAAGACAAAGGTGGGTTCTCAGTGTCTTTGAGTTTGGCCAGGTGTGGTGCTTTCTGGCAGGCCAGCTGCAGCAAGCAGGTGTTTCCTGCATTTTAGGGCTGAACATCCCTTAACCGTTGCCCAGCACACACCTCACTCTGCTCCTCTGCACAGAGGCAGGTGGAGGTTGCACTGGGTCTGGAAGTACTCAGTGCTAGGTGCCAGCTACTTGAAATTATTATTTTATTCTTGCCTTAAGACAAAGCAAACATTTGCATTTTTTTTTCCTCTTGGATGTGTTTGCTGCTTTAATTTCCCCTTTGTGCTGGCACTCATTCTGCTACTAACAGCTCTCATTGAGGTTTGATTAGTTCTTTCTGCTTCTCCTGGATCTTCTCCAAGCGCAAGGGCTAGGGACATATATAGAGATATATTGCTCTAAAAACCCAATAAGCTCAAGGAGCGGATTTCTTGGAAACTTTCCCCATTCTAAGCTTTACTCCTCCTCCCACCTTTCACCCCCTGCTCATTTTTCCTTTTTCAAAAGGCTCCCTGTTATTTGGCCATGGTGCCAACTTGGCATCACAGCTTTCCCTGCCGCTGGATTTCCATAAGAAGGCGGCATTTTTCACGGGGATTTAGATCTCAGCTGTATAAATTTGCTCTGGGCTGTAGCTCAGCTCACGGAGAATTACAGATGAAAAGTGCTGAAAGCACTCAGAAACGTCCATCTGGATGGATTACAGGTGATCCGTAAGCTGCTCCGCTGCAGAGAGGTGTGATTTTTACGCTGCTAAAGCAGCAGTGTAGAAAACAAAAGGAGAGCAGCAAACAACTCCAAGGCCCTTTTTCTCCTTGGGGCTGCACGTCCTGTCTCTGCATCAGTGCGAGATGCAAAAACAGCACCAACCCTCCCTTTGTCAGAGGCCAGCATTGTGTGCCTGTTGAATACAATTACAGACCCAACACGAATTGATCCGTCTCTGAAATACTTCACCAGCCCCAGCAAAGAGGCTCACAGAACCACAGAATCAAGATTGGAAAAGACCTCTAAGATCACCAAGTCCAACTCCAACACATCCCCACCATGCCCATAAGCACATCCCTCAGTGCCATGTCTCCACAGTTCATGAACACCTCTGGGTACGGTGACCCCACCACCTCCCTGGGCAGCGTGTGCCAGTGCATAACTTCGGTGTGCTGTGCATCAGGATCTCTGTCATCTTTCCCACCATAAGACAGAAGTCAAACACGGGCTGAGCTGCCCCAGCACAAGCTGGGGACCCAGTCCGTGTGCCATGCAGTGATCATTGCCCCTGTCAGCTCCCTCACTGCCCAGCTCTCAGCAGTGCAGAAAGCCATCTTGGGATGCGCCAAGCTGCAGGCATGCACAGATCCGTGCCTCCAGGGTGGTCTTAGAAGGGAACAGTTTCCAGAGCTCTGAAACAATGGCTAATTAAAACAATAGCTGTTGATTTATATATATACACACATACATGTGCATGTGGGTATGTATATATATGTGAAAAGAACGTGGCTGCTAGAGAAATGCTCGCAAGGATTATTTGTGCAAGCAGGGATGGCAAAGGGTGGCAGGTCAGTAAGGAGATGAGTGAGTAGCAGCAGTCCCTCTGCTGCCTGCACGCTGCTCCTGCACACACCCGAGCACTTCTGCACGCCCCATCCTGGGCACCACAGCACAGCATCAGTTCTGCACAAAACCTGGGTGTTGCCTCCTTTCATGGGCTCTGGCTGCAAGGCGGCTCTGCAGGGGCCCTTCCATGCCCTTCCCTGCCTCCAAGCACCTCCTCCCTATGTCATGTTCCCAGTGTCTTCAGCCCGGCGCTGCAATTCCTCGGCCTAATGAGCCGTGGATATATATTACCAGCAGAACGCTTTGCCCTCGTTGCTCCAATTAGCACATTCCTGGAGGGCCGGGGGCTGGCGGCCGTGTTTCCGTATTGCCGGCTCCGTGCTCCTTCCAGTGGCAGACACTGAACCACATTCCCTGCGGTGCTGGGAATGCTTTGTTCACCCACCCACTGCAGGAGGAGCTCTGGGCCATCATTGCTCTTCTTTGGCTGGTGCCTGCTGCCCCAATCTGTACTGTGTGGGGCGCAGCCAGGGTTACTGTGCGTTGGGTCAGTGTCCACTGCCAGCTCCATCCGCAGCCCATGGGGACAGAGCCACAGACGGGGTGGGGACTCCTCCATTCGTGGGGACAGGCACCATATCAAGAGGAGCAGAGGCAGCAAAGCCAGTGGGAGGCAGTGCTGCAGGGAAGTTTAAGTGTCACCGTATTTTATTTTTCAAAGCAGGCTTCTTTCAGCATAGTTTTATAGGGAATTTCTCCTCGGCAATTGATATTTCCCTCGGGGACACATCTTCTCTAGTGAAAACGTCGACATCGTGACCCGAGAGGGAGAAACTCCAAACAAACAACCGGGATTTAATTACCAGGCTGCTCGCGGGATGTAAATGATCTACGAAAAAGTATACAGTCCTCAGCAGAAGCAGCAACTATTAACCAGGGGGGATGACCTCTCTGTTTAGTTTACCGCCGCAGGGCCGCCCCTGCTGGCTGTGTCCCGGGGCATGGGACCCGTCACTGATAAGGAGATGCAGATACCTCCAGCGAGGCCCCGCACTGGGAGAGCCCGCGGGTGGAGACATGGACATAGGGGACATTTCCCCACATGTCCCCATGGAGGTGAGGAGGAGCTGGTTGGAAGCGGCCGCCCCTGGCAGCTCTCCTCCAGGAGAAGCAGCTCTGCAGTAAGACGCTGCAGCGGGCTTTGGGGACAGGACCACTTTGTGCAGCATCCGCAGAGCGGGGTTTGCTTGCTATTGCAGACAGCGCTCCCATTTTTCAGTCCACAGTGATGTTTCGTTTCAAAACACCCTTTTTTTGGGATTCTAAAGCACCACAGTATATTTCAAAGCGATTGAAACCAGATGGACCCCAAATTACTTGTTTTCCTTTTTTTTTTTTAAACAGTTTCATACACACACACACAAAACATTCAATTGGGTTTTTGTCCCAATGCGGACATGTGCTTTTTCTCCAAATTCTCAAAATTTATCATCGGAAAGTCTCTCTCTTTTCTGGCCAGCTCTGGCTCACATGAGAGGATGGAAAATATCTGGAGGCAATGTCAAGGCATTGCTGAGCTGCCATTTCCATGTTGTCTTTCCCTGGTGTGAACGTGTTTCCTCCCTGGGAAATTTCCCTTTTTGCCTCATACTGGGTCATCCTGAGGGTCTGGGATGGCCGCAGGTGAATCCTACCTTTCCAGGGCCACACGACAGGGGTGACATCACAGTGTGCTCATGGGTCCCCAGGCTGCATGCTTTATTACAACCTCAATATCGTATGCTTGGCACAAGCACAGTGGCTGGCATGGTGCGAAGAGGCTTGCATTCCTCTGCAGAAGGGTTATTCATACTCAGGTCCCATGGGGCGCTGGGAACAGAGACAGGGAGCAGGTGTGAGTCTGTGGGAGGAGGAGATGGAGTTGGGGAAATGGTTAGGGAAGAGGAAAGGATGTGGTTCTAGGGAGTATAGAAGGGTTTTCCACTAAGATCGCCGTGCTACAAGGTGTGTGTACGACTGTAAAGGGATTCAGAGAGTGAGCACATTGTGATGGTGACAGGCACACTGGCCCCTTGGTCCTCTCCTGCAGCCACCTGGACCACAGCGCATGCACCCTGGGTGGTGGGGACATCCCTGAACAGGGGGCTGGGGTCTGCTTGGGGGTCCCAGCACCTCCCAGCTCTCACACAGGTGCTACCATAAAGGTTGGTTCTTGGGAAGGGGAAGAAGGTGATTTTCACACCCTCCTTTTCCTGGTCCCTGCCCACATCCTCATCCTCTCCTAGACACCCTCCTCCCTCATCCTCTGCATCCACGTTGCTGCATCTGCTTCAGAGGGAGGAACAAGTGGGAAACTCCACTTCTTTCTCAGAAACCCTTTAATTGCTTTACTGCAGTCATTGCTGAGAGCCAGAGCGAGTGCAGCCTGACCTCACACACTGCAGGCTCTAAAGTCTTGAAGATACTCACAGAGAATGGGGAGAGGTGGCCAGCACCGGGGACATGTCATTCCCCGTGCCTTTCATGTGATCCACGCTAACCCAGCTCTTCTGCCTCAGATTGAAGCAGAGGACCAGGAGCTGGCAACCTTCTGTGGCAGGGAGACAACAGACACCGAGCAGGCTCCCGGGCAGCAAGTCATCCTGTCCCCAGGGCCCTATATGGGGCTCACCTTCAGGTCCGACTTCTCCAACGAGGAGCGCTTCACTGGATTCGACGCACATTACACGGCCGTGGGTAAGGGATGTTTAAACTTCAGGATGTGGTTGGTATGTTGGGGGCTGCAGGGTGACGTCCTTTCTTTGCTGTCTCCCCGCAACCCCAACTCAGATGTGGATGAGTGCCTGGAGAAAAGTGACGAGGAGTTGGCGTGTGACCACTACTGCCACAACTACATCGGAGGGTACTACTGCTCCTGTCGCTTCGGCTACATCCTGCACTCCGACAACAGGACCTGCAAAGGTACTGCCCACCACAGCATGGGCATAGGGACCAGGGGAGGTTCGGCTTGGATACTAGGAAAAATCTCAGAAATAGTGGTGATGCGCTGGCACAGGCTGCCCAGTGGAGTCACCATCCCTGGAGGTATTTGAGAACTGTGGAGATGTGGCACTGAGGGACGTGGCATGGTGGGGATGGGTTGGGGTTGGACTAGGTGACCTTAGTGGTATTTTCTAACCTTAATGATTGTATGATTCTACTATTCTGTGACCCGTATTGAAGACCACAATCCGTGCTCCATGCTGCTAATTGGCTGAGCAGGCAGGGAGCCACGTGCAAGCAGTATTGGGTAGAATGACAGGCAGCTGAAGGGTTGGGTGCCCATCATCCATCCTCAGTGTGGCCAGGGCTGGGGTGGCTGATGGTTTGCTGACAGAGCTGTGGCTGTGTTGCAGTGGAGTGCAGTGACAACCTGTACACCCAGAGGAGCGGAGTGGTCACCAGTGCTGACTTCCCCAGTCCCTACCCCAAGAGCTCAGACTGCCTGTACCGCATTGAGCTAGAGGATGGCTTCTTCATCACCCTCAGCTTTGAGGATAGCTTTGATGTGGAAGACCACCCAGAGGTGACCTGTCCCTATGACTACATCAAGGTGAGCTGGGCTCTGCACCCTCCCCCTGCCCTCCTGTCATACCTTGGGTCAGTGATAGTACAAATATTGTCCCTGTCTAAATGGGACCAGTGAAGCCAGTAAGAATCTCATATTCAGTGGAACCCATTGGAGACGGGACCAAAATCTGATGGTCTGATGGGTCCCCTCATGATGAAAGCCCCTCATGCCACCCTCCCTTCTTTCTTTTGGCAGATCAAAGCTGGCCAGAGGGAGTTTGGCCCTTTCTGTGGAGAAAAGTCCCCAGGACGCATTGAAACTCAAACCAACAGTGTGCAGATCCTCTTCCACAGTGACAACTCAGGGGAGAACAGGGGCTGGAAGTTGTCGTATACAGCAATTGGTAACTCCTGCTGCTTTCCTCTGTTTGATGGGCTTGGGTAATGGGCACCTTGCAGGTGGAAACCATGAGTTTGTGGCCCATTATCCTCTTCCTGGAAAGGGAAATCACAAGAGAAATGAAATAACAAGGGACCCTCTCTTCAAAGAGTACTTCTTTTCCTACCCAGATGGTCCCTGAAAACGAGACCACATTGCAAAGCAGGGCAGGATGGTCAGACACAGCCAAGGGGGCTGGATGGTGGGGCTGGGACTCTCCATTTATTCCTCTTACTCAGCTGACTCCTGCTTCCTTTGCTCTTTATTCAAAGGAAACCCCTGTCCACTGGTGCAACCCCCAATCAATGGGAAAATCGAGCCTTCCCAAGCCAAGTACACCTTCAAAGACCAGGTTGTCATCAGCTGCAACACTGGCTACAAAGTGCTGAAGGTATGGGGAGGTGGTGTGGAGCTGGGTGGGAAAGGAGCCTGGCCTCCTTTAGCCATTTTTAGCTAGAAAAGCCCTCTTCCAGGAGGGTCTGGATACGTCTTGACTAAATCACCAAGAATTTGGCTTTTTATAGAGAGAAGCATTTCCTTGTCTCATACATTATGTTATTTCGTGGGGATTTTTTTTTTCCTGTCTTCTTCTGCACAGGATAACCTGGAAAGTGACTCCTTCCAGATCGAGTGTCTGAAGGATGGGACATGGAGCAACAAGATCCCCATCTGCAAAAGTAAGGAGACCCTCCCACACCCCATCCACATGCTTTTCCTGCTGAAACTTCATGCTGAATGGAGCTGCCCTGCCAGAGCAGAGCTCCTCACTCAGTTCCAGCCAGAGAGGCTACGTAACTGCAAAGCTCTTTTGGCTAACACAATGGGGCTTGGTCCAAATGCCACAAGCAGGAGGTTTGTGCTTTCCCTTAGATTACTCATAAGTTGATTTGTGACCAGCTTCACTGTTTCCCTGTCAAGGAGAGAGCAAGCCTGGCTCTTGGGAGCTGAGCGAGCAGAGCACTGAGATGGTTCTGCTGCAGTTAGCTGGATGGCAAATTTGGGGCTGAACCCTGTGAGGAGGGCTGGGTGAGATGGGATGGCTACTTCCTTCCAGCAAACACCTGCAAGCTCCCTCAATACTTGTTTAACTGCAAAATTTGGACATGGATCACATCAGACTTGCTTTGGATGCCTCTTCATGAATGGTTCCTGCCAGAGGAAGGGATGGAGGGAGGTGGTGGATCCCTGTGTGAGATGGGATTGATCAGGCTGAGACAGTCCGAGACAATCTGGGTCCTGGACCAAATTTAGTTCCAAATGGGGACTTCAAAGACCCTGGGCATTAGGGCATGAAAGGATAGGTGACAATTTGCATCTTCTCTTCTTCTACCTAACCCAGCTCTTCTCTCAGCTCAGGGCAAGGAGCTGTGCTGCTCATGCACCTGATAACATCTCTTTCCTTTCCCCAACACACTGGTGCCCCTCAGCCCCCCCATGAGGCACTTCATCTACCGCAGGGCTGATCCACAGGGGAGAAAAGTAACAAACACCCAGGGAAGGTCCCAACACCTTCCAGAACTCTCAAGGAATGTGGGATCCAAGTCCTCCGCTTCTACACAGATCCCTTTTTATTTGAATGATATTTTGGTTCCTACTTTAGGAGTACATTTCTGGAGGTTTTAATGGAAAATAGGAGGCTGTCAGACCTGCTGAATAGATTCATATCTGAAAGAGCTTCTTACAGACCGTGGGGTCAGTGATGTCTCTGCCCACCAGGCACACTCTCACCACCAGTTTCCCGTTGATTTTATCCAGTTTGGACAGAGATCAGATAAAAACTGGCATTGTCTAGAAAAAGAAAGAATGTGGGAAAAAAGAAGAAAAAAAAAAAGTAGTTACTTTAACAAGAAAGACATTAATTGTGGAGAAAATTGAAATGATTACCTGTATTGTTAGGCTGGAACTGGTCCCTTCCTGTGTGAGATAAATCACTGTGCTAAATCTCAGCTATCTTGGATAGCCAAGAAGCCCCTAAATGGACAATCCAGACTTCAGACTGCTGTGCCTCCCACCTCCCCCGAATGTCTGGGAGAGGCACAAAATAATTTAGAAAGCAATGCAGAAAATAGTAACCTTTCCAGCCAAGGTGGATCACATCCAGCTCCACAGCCCTGCCCAGCTCTGTGACAGCTTCTCCCAGCTGCTGCCCTCAGGAGCCAAGTGGGTCCCCATTAGATCCTCATTAGGGTCCCCATTGGGATGCTCACTGGGGTCTCCATTGGGTTCTCCGTTGGGATGCCCATTGGGGGCATTTCTGGTGGATTTCTTTATGGATTTCTGGTGTTTTGGGGTCTGTGTTTCCTGCATGCCTCTGTCTGCTCAGCTACTAATGAAGCTTTTTCTCTCTGCTCTCCTCCTTCCCCTCTGCTTTCGGTGCAGCTGCAGACAGAGCCGACAACCAGACAGACAGAAGAGCCGGCTCAGAGCAAGTGGCTGTGTGAGGCTGGTGCTGGCCATGCCACCAGGACGGGCAGCCTGCCTCTGCGCCCGCTCTGCTCCATGCAGCCAGCTCCACCTCCGTGGCTTGTCTAACCAGCATGGCACTCCTAACCTCCTCTGTACACTACACTTCCTTAACTTCATCTCCAGAAGGAAAAATTTGGAGACAAGTCCCCTACTGACCACCCTTTGGGAAGGTCCCTGAGCAGCCCCAGGCTCCCAGCTCATCCTCCAGTCCCTCGGATGCCTCAGCCCTGCTTTGCTCCCCTCCATGCTGGTGGTTGTGTGAGGAGCGTTGGCCCAGCACATGGTTGGTTTGTTTGGATTTAACCTCCCACTTCCCTTCCTCCCAGGCCAAGTGTCACAAATAAGAAACACTCCTTCCTCTCCTCTCTCCGAGCATCCTTTCAGCTCTCCCTCAGGCAAGAGACGATGGGTTGGCACCAGCAGCCCTGAGAGGCTGCATGCGGGCACCGAGCCCTGGCACTGGTGTAGGGGATGCTCCTGCTGTCTAGTCCCATCCATGTCCCCAAGAGCACCCAGGGCTTTCAGAGGTATTGGGGGTGCTGGGAGGAGGACTCAAGGATGGGAGATGGGGAGTGCATTCAGTGCTCCTTCTCCTAAGGTGAAAATGTGGGAATCCTCAAGATATGAACTCCTTCCCCTCTCTCTTTGGGTAGGATGCAGGATACTGTTGGGCAGCACTGCTGTGCAAGAGCCCATCCAAACTGCATCAGAACTGCCCCAGACACATGGAACATGCAGGGAGGGTAGGGGTTTTGTGGGACAGGGGGCACAGACCTGCAGCCACAGATAACCCCAGAGCAGACATGCCAGCCAGACGTGTCCTCCAACACCTATTTACCCCTTGCTGCAAGCCCCAGCATTCCCCAGCACCTTACAAAGGCCCAACGGTGCTGGCACCACAGCACAAAGCTGTGCTCCTGGGCACAGAGGGAAGCAGTGGGGATGGTGGACACCCTGCCGAACAGTGAACCACAGCATTGTGCCGTGAACCAGGCAGTTCTCACCCAGGCAGGTGACTCATCTTGAGCATCAGTGTGTGTCCCCATGAGCCTGGATCACGCCAGGAGGAGCCAGGCCTGGTAGCACACGACTACACACAGCTCACATGCCCCTGACCCACTGGATCAGTTTCCTACAAAATCACCCATCCCCTGCTCAGCTTCTCAGCTTAACAGTGCTCCACAGACCTCCACATACCAGGCAGGATGAGACCTGGGTGAGTGGTGGGGGGGAACAGGCTGTGCAAGGCATGATGAGGCTGGGTTTTCCCTACGTCTGCTGACCCAGCCAAGCCGTGCTCCCCACGTCCTCCATCTGTCACTGCAGAAGAGCCAGGACCCAAGGATGCTCAGCTGGAGCCATCAGTGCCCATCAGCACTGCTTGCTCAGCAGGAGGGACAGGGATGTGCTACCAACAAAGCCTTGTGCTCAGAGGAGGTTCTTGGTGAACTGCCTGCTTCTTCCTAACCATTCATAAGGGACGTGGAGATAAACTCCTAGAGCATCCCCCAGCAGCTTTCACCTGCCTGTGCATGTTCCTTCTCCTCTGAAGGCACTCAGAACATCCCAGGAGGGATGTGAGCCAAGCCAGGAAGCCACCTGAGCTGTGCTCCTCACATCACCCTAGAGAAAAGGGTAGGGGGCAATGTGGAACCCCTCTCTACCCTATAAAATCACCACCCATGCTAAAGCCCATGAATGGATGCAGGGCTCAACCCTGATTCTGTGTTGGCTTTCAGTTGCTGACTGCCAAGCGCCACCAGAGCTGGAGCACGGCTTTGTCACCTTCCTCTCCAGGAACAACCTCACCACGTACCGTGCAGCCATCCAGTACCACTGCCAGCACCCCTACTACCACATGGCCCCCAACAGCACCGGTGAGCTGGGGGAATGGAATGGGTGGGCACAGGGTTAAGAAGAACAGTGAGATTGTGGCAGAATGAGTTGGCAGCTTATCCCCTTGGTCCATAAACAGAGACCTCATAAGGTGCTTTGCACAGAGCACCACAGTTCTCTGCACCCTTCAGATCCAGCCCTGGGCAGTATGGTTGCACGTACATCTCAGCCCTCTTTCCTTCTCCTCCTCCCTCAGCATGGAAAGTCAAAGGAGTTCCACACATTCCTGCCTCCCTGCTCATAGCCCCATGCATCTGGTCCCTGTATCCGGCACGCATTAATGTAATGGGCACCAGCAGAGCTAACGGGGCAGCAGCTCCCAGACAAAGCACAGCTCTATAGACCCAGGGCAGTGACACAGCTCTATAGACACAGGGCAGTGGTATGGGGACAGGGCTGTCAGTGAGGAAAGGAACACAGAAGGCTTGAAAGAGAAATGGGTTCAGAAGATCTTGATGGCAGGGCTGCATCTCACTGCAGAAAGCCCTCCATGCTGGAGCACAGCCCAGCTAAGACCTGTTCTCTTCCAGCCACATACACGTGTGATGCATCGGGGGTTTGGAGGAGCGAGGAGCTGGGCACCGCACTGCCATCCTGCCGACCAGGTACTAGGGTACGGGGGGTCCATGGTGAGGGGTGCAGGGATGTGTGGGAGGGGGCTGCCTGCCTGACTTCAGCCCCTGGTCATGGGCAGAGACCCAGCTTCATGGTGGCAAATGTCATGGGCTGTTCATATCTGACCATTGCAACTTATGGCAAGAAGGGTGATAGTGTCAGGGGTCAGGGAAGTAGCACCCTCAGCAACCTGGGGTGCATTTAGCCCCCAGCATCACCAGAGACAGCTCCAGCCAAGGACAGACCATCACCTGTCTGGTGCCACTGGCTCCCATAAGCAGTGTGTTCCCATGCAGGAGCAATTAGCACATCTCTTGTAGAAAAACCCAGCCGCTTCGCAGAGCCCAAAGCCCCGAGCCTTTGAGCAGTGGCAGAAATGTTTGCAGCCAGCAAGTTTCCAGGCCAGGCGCCCGCTCAGGATTAAACAAAAGTCCCTGGGACAAGGGCTGGCCGCAGCTGGCTGCAGGCGGGGCTGGCAGCTGCTCTGGGTGCGGGCTGCGGTCGGATGCACAGGGATGGCTCTGCGGTGCAGGGCAGGACGTGGCGGTGGGGCTCAGCCCCATGGCAGGTCTCGTAGAGTGTCCGTTCTCCAAAGAGTGGAGATGTGGCTGCTCTTGTTTCAGTGGCTGCTGTCTGCATCCCTCCTTGATGTTTCAGCCTGAAATGATTTGTGCTGGGAGCATATGGGGACAGCTTTTGGGGATGTAGCTGCTTTTGTGGGCCATTTCCAGACCTCTTGATTAGTGACAGAAGTCAGAGAGGCTTCGGGAAAATGGAAAATCCCAGAGAGACAGTGACGCTCTCCTGAGATGGGGAAGTGCAGGCAGCAGCTGGCCAGCTGCTCCTCAGATCTTCCCTCATGTCTCACGCTACCTCCCCATCAATAGAAGCTCCTCGTCCAGGCCGCAGCACGCCTGCCTCTGCCATTAGTGGGAGCATTTGCAGCCCGGTCAGCGTTTTTGATATGTAATTTAATAGAATAAATATTTGGCTGGATGCGCTTCCTCTAAAATCATCTCCCCAGGATGGCTGTCAGCTTGGGTGCAGCAGAACAGCTGGGCTGGGCGGAGAGGCAGGAGCACGTTTTCCATTCCCTGCAGCACTGGAAGAGTGAGGCACAGGCAGACACTCCCCATCCTCCCTCCAGTCGCAGTTTTCCTAGCGGCAGCCATAGCAAATCCACAGTAGCAGCTCCTGGTGATCCTGCCCCAGCTCTTGGCCCTGAGCCCATCACCCTGAGGTCTGACCCTCTTTCTGTGAGGCTCAGCATCCTCCTCTCCCAACAGAGGAGCATGAGGCAGAGTCATGGCTGGAATATCGTCCGGGTCTTCTTACCACCTATCAGCAAAACTGATTTGAGTTTTTGAGCTCTTTGAGTTACAGCTCAGTTTCTCTGCAATCTACACCTGGCAAAAATCATAGCATCCACCAGATCTTTGACACAGCAGAAGGATTCTGCTTCTTCCCCTTCCAAAAGGAGTCTGGTAGCACTGTGGTCCGCATTTGGAGCACAAATCATACAAGTGTAAACCAAGTCTAAGACCTGATCCTACTGAGAGTGCTTGAAGCCCCATCCTGGTTCATGTGTTTTGATGGATCCATGCCTAACTTCAGTACCAGAAGTTCTGGTTCAGCTTTGGGATAGCTAACTGGGTGAAGGCATCACGTCCCGTGGTGTGCTATAGACACTTCTGATGGTCTGTGTTCATTTTCAGCAAACAGGCCACGCTTTCCCCCAGGTTAACCTGCTATTTGCAGGTTAAGTCCCCCAGCCCCTATGCTCCAGCACATGCCACCCCTTGGCACAAGCCTACATTTTTCATCATGGGCTATGTGTGCTGCAGTCCTGTCCCAAAAGGCACCAAGAGCTCGAGCCTTCCTGAGCTCAGTGGAGACTCTCTGGGACAGCGATGCACCAGGACTGGTAGACAGAATTGTGCCTAGTCAGTCCATGGCCTCGTGGCTATGAGCTTTCACTTTGTGTTTTCATTCCTACAGCAAGGTTAGGAAAGGAGATGGAAGTTGGGAGGCCACTTTTTTAAAGCAAACTTGTTGGGATGAATTGGGCCTCGACTGCCCATGGCTGAACATAGGATGGACTCCTGCAGAGCCTCATCCTGAGAGCTCCCCACTACAGAAAGAAAAGTCACAAGAAAGCATTTGGTTATGAGAATGACCATCCATGTGGCCTAATCCACAGGGAAATCCCTAGGTTGTTTTCCCTAGGTAAGTGTTTGGAGTAACAATCTTGTCCATTCTGTCCCCAGTGTGTGGCCGGCCAGCCCGTGCTCTGCCCGGGATCATCAAGCGCATCATCGGGGGGCGAAATGCAGAGCCTGGCTTCTTTCCCTGGCAGGCCCTGATAGTGGTGGAGGACATGTCCCGAGTGCCCAACGACAAGTGGTTTGGCAGCGGGGCCCTGCTCTCAGACTCCTGGGTGCTGACAGCCGCTCACGTGCTGCGCTCCCAGAGGCGGGACAAGACTGTCATTCCCGTCTCCAAGGAGCACGTCACTGTGTACCTGGCCCTTCATGATGTGAGGAACAAGTTGGAGGCTGTCAACAGGACAGTAGAGAGGATCATCCTCCACGAGGATTTTGACATCCAGAACTACAATCATGACATTGCTCTGGTCAAGCTGAAGGAAAAGGTGACCATGGGGAACTACGTCATGCCCATCTGCCTGCCCCAGTTTGAGCACGAGCTAGAAGGACCTCACCCCAATACACTGGGGCTGGTGGCCGGCTGGGGAATCTCCAATCCCAACATCACTGTGGATGAGATCATCAGCTCAGGCATGAGGACACTATCCGACATCCTGCAATACGTCAAGCTCCCAGTGGTGCTGCATGCAGAGTGCAAGACCAGCTACGAGTCCCGCTCAGGGAACTACAGCGTGACCGAGAACATGTTCTGTGCTGGCTACTATGAAGGTGGGAAGGACACTTGTTTGGGAGACAGCGGAGGAGCCTTTGTCATTCAGGACCCAGGAACCCGGAGATGGGTGGCCCAAGGGCTGGTCTCGTGGGGTGGTCCAGAGGAGTGCGGCAGCAAACAAGTGTATGGTGTGTACACCAAAGTCTCCAACTATGTGGACTGGGTGGAGAAGAACACAGGCTCCTCAGAGAGGTGGACATTTCTGGACCCTGATCTGGAGAGATGAGTGACTAAGCACTGCCTGCTGACACAGCTTTCTTTGTTTGTTGTCCTTTAATATGCTCCAGACTCCGGTCTTTCGCAAGCAGTAGCCATGATGCTCAACCGCACTTCGGCTGGACTTTGCCAGCCAACCACATCATTCCTTTCACTTGGTCCCAAATCCCTTTGCTTTCACTCTGAGGAAATGCTTGCTGGGGAGCTGGGGAAAGGGATTAAAGGGTGAGATCTCATCTAGCATTGCTAGCTCATGTTGCCAGGCTTGGTGTTTAACCTCTTCTATGCAGACTTGGGTAGTCTTGTGTGGCAAAGCATTCATTCTTGCAAAACCCAAGTCCCTTTTAGGTGTACTTCAGACCATTCTTCTGGTTGATTTACAGGTTACTGAAGGTTTCCATGTTTTGTTCATGGCTCTTCTGGCCTATTGCTGGTGTCCATGACTCACCCCAATCCATCCAACACTCCATAAAGTTTCACATCTCCCCTACCATGACACATACAGACAATAATCCCCACCAAGGAACAAATTCAGGTGAGCTTAGCTTCCTTCAGCAGAGACATCACCTCCTTCACTTGCCAGCAAAGCCCTCCTATAGCTGGAAGCAACATGCAGCAATTGCCTGCTATCCCCTCTGAGTGCTTTTAGCCTCCTTTGGACTTCTCCTTCTCCTTTGGTTTTGCATGCAAGGAATGAGTCAACGTTGAACCAGCCACCCAGACATTTTGTTACCATCCAAAAAGCCATTCGTAGTGTAGGTAGAGGAGCAGAAGGCCTAAGGAAGATCTAACTTGCAGACATGCTAAGAACTGTACTCTTGGCTATGTCATATAACATAAGGTATTTTTATATATATATTTCTTTTTGATACTACATTCTGCAGAATATCTGATTACATGTAAGGATGGTTCTGTGTAATCTTCATCCTGAGAATAAAATTAAATGTTAATATTTACCGAGTTCATGCCCTGAGGCTTTTATTCCAGGCAGGAAATGGTCAAGGAGTGAAGGCAAAGGATGGTCACAAATCTGTCCCATGCACTTCTGCTCCTTCTCCATGGCATCTGCTCTGTGTCCATGTCAGACCTTATCAACGACCTCAGCTCCACACAGTTCAACTGTGCATTGCACACAATCTTCCCATGGCCAAGACAGAATACAGAAAATGAAGGAGATGAGATCCAGTGGTGGTCATTGCTGGAGAATCAACCCTGATGAATGGACTACATACTCCCAACAAGCAACGCAAGCAAGTCCTGTCTGCATTTTAGGGATAAGCTATGCTGCTCTGGGTCTCACATTGTCTAGTGTCATCCTGCCCACCCGTGTATAGCAGTGCTACAAATTACCAGCTTGCTTAAGTGGATGTATCTCCAGAGCCTTCATTCAGGTACAAAAGGCAGTCATGCAGTCACTGGGAACACACAGATTGCAGGCACTTGGAAATGGTCTCCAGTGACTGCCAAGTGCAGAGAAGCCCATTGATGCCAAGAATGGTGTAACTCCACTGAGCCTTCTGGCTTTCAATAAAAACTCTCTTCAGAAGTGCTGGGAAAAACATATTTATCCCTGAAACCAAATAATTAAACTGAAGAGCATGCGAGATATCTTTTTGTTCCTAAGCATAATGGGCGAAGTGCAAACAAAAGCTCCCAGTCTTGCATTTGCTGGGCTGGGGTCCAGCAGTGCATCCACCACCCATCCCTGCTGTCTGCAGCAGTGGCTGATTTGGGCTCGTGGTCTCTGTTTACACTATCAGTTTATCGTAAGCCTGTCGAAGATCAAAGATAACAAACAGAGACCAGCAAAATGCTGTGGTCCCACCAGCACTGTGGGTCTGGAGGTGCTTCACTTGCATAGGGTAGAAGGCCAGAGGGTTCTGCCCCGTGTTCTCAGCCACAGCCCCTGCAGCTTTGTGGGCTGAGACAGACCTGAACATGCCAGGAATGCAAACTGCAGGAAACAGCAATAGGTGAGATCCCACCCTTCAATTATTTATAGCCCTAGCACATCGTTAAAAATGGGGCTGATGGCAGGAGGGGAGTGCAGCAACCTGGAGTCTGAGAACTCAGTCTGAGTTCAAGTGGCATGCAGAAAAAATAAACAGGTAGATAAGAAAGCAAAGGCAAAAGCAAAAGCAAAGTATGGTCCCTTGGGCATCACACCATCAGCTGTAGGACCTGTGCCTAGATAGCTCCCAGGCAAGTTGCAAACGCCACTGCCTACAAGAAATTAATCACAAATAAATACCATCCTCCTCCTTCCCACAGCTCCACAGTCCCCATCCAGCCTGCCCACCTCCCCTGCTCAGCACCCTGTGTGCTGCCAAGTGCCAGCTTCTTGCCCATGGCATGGGAGCGGGCAGCGGATGGGAACAACAGAAGCAACGGCTGGTTTTGCATTCATTGGCACCTCTCAACCTGCCAGAGTTGTAAGAAGCTCTCTCCAGGGAGACAGGCACAGAGGCAGCAATTTATCAGTCTGACTGTGGTGAAAGGCCAGCAAAACGTCTCCACATGAGGTTTGCTTGTCTCTGGCCAAGTGTAAGCACCAGCCATCAGCTGAGAGTCAGCTGCAGCAGAACCCAGCTCCAGATGGACCAGTGCGGCACATGGCAGGACTGCAGAAATATGGGACCCCCAGCATCCCACTGGGAGAGACAGCATTCTTCACCCCCCAGCTATCCTCCCCGGGATGAGCTCACTGTCTGTGTGCCACTGAGGGGCTGAGCTAGAGGGCAGTGTGCTAAGAAACAAATGGGAGGTGGGCACAGCTGCACATCAGAGGGAGGTATCCTGGAAGGAGCCCAGGAATGAGGCTGTGGCTGAGAAACGTGGGTGTCGCTGAGTGATGGGGAGAGGATGAAGCAGCTGCACGATGGAGAGGGCAGAGATACCCCAGGCATGCACACACAGCATGAAGAGACAGCAGGCAAGCAGACAGCACCAGGGAGGGGATGGGGTAGAAAAGCTGATTATGCATAAGAGGCCATGGTTGGGAGAGCCTGTGTGTGTGTGCGTGCGTGCACAGAGGGCATTGGAAGGATGGCTCTGCCCTTGAAAATGAGCAGAAAGACCCAAGCAACAAAACAAGGGCCCCTGCAGGGATGTGGGCTCCATCAGAGCTGGCTTCACAGGAGGAAGTGAGGGAGTTCCCCCTGCAGCTGGGTGGTGGGGTATGCTGCAGACAGCCAGACATGATGACTGGAGCTGGGAAAACCTCAGCATGGAAAGAAGAGGGCCACGGGCAATGGCAGTGAGAAACTTGGCAGTGTCTCTGCCTTCATGACATAATGCCACGGGGGAGAGGGCAGGCTGCTCCCCACACAGGACAGCCAGAGGGGGGAAGGGACTCCTTCCAGGCTGCAGGACCAGCCTCCTCCTGGAGCACAGCTCAGCCTCCCAGCAAGGAGAAACCACCTCCAGAAAGAAGGGGCCATTCAGAGACGAGATTCTCTGGGTCCCACTATTTCCCTGCCCCAAATGCTCAGTACTTCATAGATACTCCCTCCAGGGGGACAGATTTTGCTGTCTCTCCTTGCTGGGAAGTCCCTGCTGGTGGCACCCAGCCCTGTTGCCACAGCATCACTGTCCCCCATCAGCTCTGGCGGTCAGGAGAGATGTGAATCAGAGCGCTTTGCATCACTTGTGCAGCTCCTGTGCTCCAAGACTTGGAAAAATCACAGCGAGAGAGCAGCTCATTCACAGATTGACACCATGGCCATGTAGGGTATGGTCTGGAAGCCTCAGACTGCAGGGAACCGGATGGGGGAGAGGCGATCCCGCATTCGGGGATGGCTGCCCCGTCCCAGTGCTGGCGGTCACCGGCCCCAGTGCTTCCCAGTGTGGCGACAGAGATGTCGCAGCTCCATCTGCTGGCGCCGCGACTGCGGAAGGTGGAAGAGAAGGAAATCGCTTGGAAAGAGGGGAGAGAGTGGGATGATGAGCAGGACAGAGCGCTTAGGGGGCAGAGCCCACGGTGTTCCTGCACTGCACAGGGTTTTCTTGTTATTTATATATATATATATATATATATAACCAATATCCTACCGGTTATATGTATGAAAAGACAGGGGAGTCTTACAGCAGTGAAGAAAGCAATGGCACAACCCTCCCCTTTACTCAGACCTGGGTTGATCTCCAGGTCTCTAGTGGATGACACATGGGACACCACTTTTGGCATGGTACGGGTGGATACTAATGGCTCCCTGTGTGTTTGCTGCAAGCCCCTAGTTCCATATACCCTCAGCTGCTTTGGGTACCCCCATTCACAAAGGCCAAGCCAGGAGAGAGGGGATGTGCCCCCCCAAGACAGATAAAGGAAGATAAAGCAACTGGCCAGCAGATAAAGGAATGCCTCACTGCCAACCATTCTGGTCATATATATTCAGAAAAGGCTTTAGAGAAGTTAAAAAGCACAGATGCATCCTGGGCTGAGGATAAAGGACTGCTTTATTCCTGCAGGTACTCTCCATCCTTTGTATGAGGAGCTGGGGGCCATCCTTGTGCAGAACATGTCCCGTAAGAAACCACCAGGCCTGCTGGGCTCCCCTGGGCTGGAAACAAGGTGCCTAGGCACGATGGTGGTGGCGTCACCTGTGAGCTGAGAATGCCTCGCCATCCCAGGGCACCCATCCAGTCAATTTTCCACCCTTTCCATTACCACCATCCTCAGCCAGCATCCCGGTATTCACAAATGCCAGCTCCCACTACTTCAAGAGGGAATAAAGCAGGGCAAAGATGAGCACTCCCAAAACACAGAGAACAGATAAGCCCACGCAGCAGCAGCGTTTCCAGGGAAAGCCGCCACCTACAACTTGCTCTGTGGACCTCGTGATCAAGACAGCCTTGTCCATATCTTCCCTGGGCTTCCAGGCCTTGTGCACACCCACCTTGGTCTTCCAAGCCTTGTCCACATCCATCTTGGTCTTCCAAGCCTTGTCCACATCCATCTTGGTTTTCTGAGCCTTGTCCACATCCATCTTGGTCTTCCAGACCTTGTCCACATCCATCTCTGTCTTCCAGGCCTCATCTACATCTATCTTGATCTTCCAGGCCCTGTCCACTTCCATCTTGGTCTTTTGAGCCTTGTCCACATCCATCTTTGTCTTCTGGGCTTTGCTCACACCCACCTTGTTCTTCCCAGCACTGGGCTCCATGGCTGCCCTGGACCTGCTGCAGACACCGTGCCTGCAGCCCTCGCAGTGGGTCCTGTCGTGTACCCCCGATGCGTGGCACCTGTCCACCACCACTTCCAGGAGGGCGTCTGACTGCATGGGCACATTGTAGAAGTCCTCGAGGATCTTCAGCACCAGGTTGTGCAGCAGCCGCTCTATGTTCTCCAGGCTGAATATGGGCTTCTCCAGCTGGGGGTTGTGGCACTGCCTGCAGGCTTGACGGAAGATTCGCATCAGCACTATCCCATAGCACATGTGGAAGAGGATGTGCACTTTGGCTGAGGACCACTTGTTCAGGCACTGGGAGCACTGAAACCTGCCGGGACATGGAAGACACCAGCTCATCCCAGCCTTCTGCTGTAACCCAGGGCAGTCAGCAGGGAGCTGGACAGCTGGAGCTGATGGTTCAGCTTTATACACATAGGCTGTCCTATCAGCATGATGCCAGCTTGGGTAGCTGTACACCCATGAGCTAGGAGCAAGCTGAAATGTAGGACCGGCTTGCTGCCCTTGCCCAGCCTGTCCTGACCCCACTGCCTGGAGTAGGGGCCCAGGGGGAGGGAAGAACCAAGCTCCAGCTCCATGTGAGTCTTCAGCCCTTGACCCATGCACAGCTCAGCAGAAAGCCAGCGTCAAGCTGAAAAAGTCAAAAAAGAAGCAAAACAGAAGGAAGGTGTGGGTGGAGGCTGCAGGGCAGGTGAGGAGGAGCTGCAGGTTACTCCCCTTCTGACTCATCTTTCACAATGCTTATGGGAGTTAGCAGCCCCTCCACACTCAGCACCC